AATATTTTTTATTGTCAATGGACCTTTTATCTACTTATTTTCTATTTATGTGAGGTGCTGAGAATCGAACCCAGTGCCTCACATGTGCTAGGCAAGCCTCTACTGAGCTACAACTCCAGCCCTCATCTACCAACTGAGCTATACACCCCAGCCCCCTCAGAATATATTTTTAAAACTCAAAAAATCAACAGGCAAACAACCACTTTAAAAGTGGGCCAAAAAAAAAAAAAGGCTTGAAATTTCATCAAAGATATATGGCAAATAAGCATGTGAAATCCATGTTGTACAGCATTAGCCATTAAGGAAATACAAATTAAAACCATGATTTGATCCACTGTATGCATACTAGATTATCTAACAGAAAATTTAAAAATATTGACAATTAAAAGTATCAGCAAGGTCACAGACCAACTCTGTGTACATAAAAATTGCTCATGTACATAAAAAATGGAATGGAGAGCTGGTGTAGCTTAGTTGGTAGACATATGCCTGTCATATGTGTGGTACTGGGTTGGATCCTCAGCACCATATAAAAAACATAAATTAAAATAAAGGCATTGTGTTCATCTACAACTAAAAAAAAATATTAAAAAAAAAAAAAACAGGAAGAACTGGACACAATAGCATACGCCTGTAATTCCAACAGCTTGGGAGGCTGAGGAAGCCTCAGCAATTTAGTGAGACCCTGTCTCAAAATAAAAAAATGAAAGGGCTCAGTTGGTAGAGTGCTTGCCTTGCATGCACAAGGCCCTGGGTTTGTTCCCCAGGAAAAAAAATAATAATAATAAATATTTAATTAATTAAATTTAAAAATTAAAATTAAAATAAATGAAAAAATGAAAAAAAAAAAAAACTGGGGATGTAGCTCAGTGGTTAAGCATACCGGGCTCAATCCCTGATGTCCTCCCTGCCAAAATAAGGAAAATGGAAAATAGTTTGGCAGTTCATAATAAAGTTTAATGTATTTTATACTAGAGAAATTAAACATATGTTCACATAAAAAACTGACACCAAAAACTGGCATCAACCCTAATGGCCTCCAACAAGTAAACAGATGAACAAACTGTGATACATCCACGCAACAGAATGCTTCTCAGCAATGAAGAATACAGACTATTGACACATGCAAAAATGTGGGCAACTCTCAAAAGAATTATGCTGAAGCAAAAAAGACTACCTCAAAGAATCATATACCACATAATTCCATTCCATAGGACATTCTCAAAACCTTAAATAATGAGAACAGACGAGTGGCTAAGAGCATAGAACGGGTGGTTATGCATTTTCTGATGAAGTTCTCTGTATCCTGACTGTGCTGGTGATTACATGAATCCCTATAGGTGTTCACAGAACAGGGCCTGGGCATATAGCTCAGTTGGTAGAGTGTTTGCCTCACATGCACAAGGCCCTGGATTCAATTCCCAGCAACAAAAAAAATAGTTCACAGAACAGTTAAGCATAGTGGTACACACATGCCTATCATCCCAGCAACATGGGAAGCTGAGACAGGAGGACTGTAAGTCTAAGGCCAGCCTTCACAAGTTAATAAGACCCTATTTCAAAATACAAAATTTTTTAAAAGGTAGGGGTTGGTGATGTATCTTAGTGGTAAAGCACTCTGAGTTCAATCCCCAGTAGTAAAAAAAAAAAAAAAAGATGTATGCCTCCTCATGCCTCCTCAAATTGATCCATATATGCACAACAATTCCAATTAATCCAGTTGTTTTTTTTCTAGAAATGATAAACTGACTTTAAAATTTAAATGAAAAGTCCAAGATCTAATAGCCAACATAATAGTGGGAAAGAAATGCAAGTTGAACATCTTACATTAACCAAGTATGAAGACTTAAAAAATGAAGCAATCATATAAGAATAAGGTTAAAAAGGAAGACATTAGAGAATTTAGAAACAGGCCCAAACATACACTGTTACTTGACTTATGAAAGAAGTGCTACAGTATATTGGTAGAAAAACAGGGTATTTCAAAAATTGGTGCTGGATTATCTGGATATTCATAGGGGAAAAATAAACCTCACAGCATACAGAACAACTGAGAGGGAATTAAATGTGAAAAAGAAAGCTAAAAAGAAAAACTTTTAAGAAAACAGGAAAATATTTTAAGAATTCTGGGCAGGCAAATATTTCTTAAACAACAGACAAAAGCACCAGTTGACAAAAAATTATATAGGGCTGGGAATGTAGCTCAGTGGTAGAGTACTTGCCTAGCATGCATAAGGCCCTGGGTTACATTTGTAGGACCAAAAAAGACAAAAAAAAACTGAACCATTTGTTAAAATCAAAGAACTCCTGTTTATCAAAAGATTCTATTAGCCTATAATCCCGAGAGTCTGAGAAGAATTTGAGGCCAGCCTGAGCAATGTAAATGGACCCTGTCTCAAAACACAAACAACAACAACAAAAAATCTATAAGTAAAAAGATGAAAAGGCAAGTCACAGACTGGATAAGACATTTGCAGTACTAAGGTCATTATAACCAGTTGGCAAATAAGCAACTGAAAAGGTGTTCAACATCTCTGGTGTTTAGAAAAATGTAAACTAAACCCTAGCAAGAGGGCTGGAGTTGTGGCTCCAATGGTAGAGTGCTCATCTAGCCACATGCAAAGCCCTAGGTTCAATCCTCAGCACCACATTAAATAAATAAATAAAGGTGTTGTGTCCAACTACAACTAAAAAATAAATGTTAAAAAAAAAAAAACCTAGCAAGAAACTGCTACATACCAAAAATAGTTAATTTGTGATGATATAAATCACAACAGTGGCTTACCTTTTAAAGGGAATGAGTGGAAGTTGTGCACAAGAGGATTCTATGGTGCTGGCAATGCTTTATTTAAATTTGTATCAGGCTAGTGAGAAACACAAAGGTGTTCATTTTATAAAAGCTTTATACTTAAGACAAGCTCGCTTTTCTATATAAATTATACTTTCCTATATAAATTATATACTTCATTTAAGAAGTTCATATTAAAAAAGAAAAAATTTCCCATAAGCTACTCCAAATCTAGGTGATTTCACCAATGATTTTACTAAAAATTTACACACACTTTCAAAAAAAAATAAAATCTCTCATTTAATGAGCCAGAGTAACCTTATACCACAAACTTGACAAAGAAATTATAAGAAAAGAAAATTACAGGACAGTCTCTATCATGGGTAAAGTTGTAAACATTCTAAAAATACATGTTATACTGAATCTCGTGACATATATAAATTGGGTTTACTCCAAAAAAGCACTCAACATTCGAAAACGAATTAATGTAATTCACCAACATCAAAAGACTAAAAGAAAAAAATCATGATTATCTGGATACAACCAGATTTGTAAGAAACGCACTCTCAGCAAATTAAGAAACTTCTTCAAACTGATATGGAGTTATCTACAATACAAACCTATGAGCTTACATCACACCTACGAGTGAAATATTAAAAGCATTCTCTGAAAAAGAAAAAAAGACAAGGATGCCTTTTATCACCACTTTTCAATACTCTACTAAAGTCTTAGTTAAGAAGAAGGAAAAAAAGCTACAAAATTTAAAAGGAAGTGAAAGAACGAACAAGGCTCATCGTGGAAAAGATGCCTGTTTATTGAGGAACAGCTCTGTGTATTTATAGAGCCTGGGGTGGTTTGAGAGTTTAGCAGTTTAATGGTTTGACAGATGGCATGGGGTGCTTTCTGATTGGTGGTAAGGATCATGTGAGCCAGCAGGGCTCACCTATGGCCAGCTCTTCTGGGGGATGGGAAAGTTAGTCTTTGGAGCTGGGG